TGTAAGATGGCATGCAGAAATTTAAAATTAAAAATTAAAAATATGAAACCGTAATTTATGAAATAAAGAACAATTATGATCTAAAGGGTATCAAAATTTGCAAAAAGAAAAAGCTTAATATTTATTTGTTTACTTCATTAAACATTTCTTTCAATGTAAGTTGTTTAAGTTTTGCTTCGTTTCATGTGATAATACTTTCTCTTTAATTCTATTAAACAGACATAATTTCTTGTTCAGTTACAAAGTTCCGCTGTTCAAGTCCTATAATTGCTGTGTCTAGAACACCGATTAATTTGTCAATCGAAATTTTTTCATTTTCAATAACCTCTGTCACTTTTCGCTATCGAAGCGAATTATAATGACGAGGAAACTTGTTTTAAATCATATCAAAGACGGAGCATATCGAGATGAAATACTACATTTGGTAAGGAATTATAAGCCAAATAAAATAAAAACATCTGCGCTGAAGATAAGGATAGTGTTGACAGATCAACTTCCAATTCATTACGCGCCCGCCGCGGCAATCCCCCCGCCGAGCAGCTTGAAATTGATAAACAGATTTCGGATTTCAAAACATACTTTCGCTTTAGATCCTTTACATATTAACAAATATATATCGGAAATTCTATTTGATATAATCGAAAGTTTAAGCTTACTTTTATAAAATTGCTCTTACAGTCTGCAAAAAATAATAAGCCGGATCCTATTCAAAAATTAAGGAACCACGCAATCATCAACATTAACTGAAATAGATAATTAGATAATTTTAGCTTATACGTCCATTATACATAAAACGCGCACGCGAAAACGTATTCTGCACTTGCGCACACTCATATGCGTAGTCGTAAAAGGTCTTACGCGCACGCGTAAACGCCTATGCGCATGTGTCAACGCGGCGCATGTGCAGAAAGTTTTTTAGTTTTGAGGTCCGGATTATATATCATTCTGAATTATGGGTGTCCGAATTAACGACTTTTGACTGTATAAATGCATGTACAAAAAATATACCAGAAAAAGATAAAATTACTTGAAAATTCCAAGTTTTAGCATGGGTTGTTTAAAGAATAGCAGCAAGAAATGTATTGATGCATATTTTAGCAATCATAGCATTGTCTTAAATGAGATAAACACAAGGTAGCGTGCACAGTCATGCCTAATCAAACTCATGTTGCATGCATAACAAAAATTTTCATGTTCAAACAGGATGTACTTCAAAGCAGATATACTAGGTGTGAAACACACACAACAACAACAATAACAACAACAACAAAAAAAAAAAAAAAAAAAAAAAAAAAAGAGAGAGAGAGAGAGAGAGAGAGATAGAGATAGAGATAGAGAGAGACTAACCGTGTAGCTTTAAAAAAGAGTGGAGTGTTGGCAACAAATTTTTTTGTGAAGTCATTCTACACACCTCATCCATCCATGTGGCCAGTTTCGACTTAACCGACCATTCCAGTTGGAAATACTGCGTTATTGAGTGAACATCTGCAACTGCATTGTGCCGGAAACAATGTCTAATGTAAAAAGCGAACAGTGAATCAATATCAAGTTTCTTGTGTTAACTTAAGTTATCAGCCACGGAAACATCTCAAATGTTAGCTGAGGCTTATGGAGATGAAACTTTGTCTCGTGCCCATGTGTATGAATGACATAAGGGTTTTCAGGGGAAAGGGACAAAGCACGCATGTCAAAATCAAAATTCAAGGCATTGTTAATCGTCTTCTTCGACAATAATGGAACTGCAATGATTGAGGGGGTTCCCAGTGGTCGAACTGTTAATCAACTCTACTATACTGAAATACTAAAAAAAGACTTAGTGAAAAAATTAGGGGAAAAAAGCCACAGTTGTGGAGTGATGGATGGCTGCTGCACCATGACAATGCACCCGGTCACTTGGCCCTATGTGTCAAGCAGTTTCTGACCAGCAAAAACATTACTGTGATGGGGCACCTGATTTGGTGAAATGTGACTTTTTTTATTTCCTAAAGTTAAATCTTGCTGAAAGGCAAGCCATTTTACCTCAGCTGAAGAGGTTCAGACAAAAATGAAAAATCCCCTGAAAGCCTTCCAAAAAGCTCTTTCCAGAACTATTACCAGCAATGGCAGCATCGAATGCAGAAGTGTGTGAATGCTGAAGGGGACTACTTTGAAGGTGATAATAGCATGGAGAACTGATTCTGTAGGTACAATGATTTATTGGATTGGACCAGTCTCTCTCTCTCTCTCACTTTTTTTTTTTTTTTTTTTTTTTTGGTGTGTGTGTGTCACACCATGTTTGCTAAGCAATATGCCCATTTTAAAACAATATTTAAAGCAAATCTATGAATTCATATTGCATGTTGGATATCTATGTTATTAACATTACTCTAAATCTACTCCACTTCAAAGTGTATGGAGAAACTGTCAATTAATGATCCTAAGAAATTCTTTCAGTGCGATCTCATAAGAAGAAAGTTTTCTAGCATAATTAAATATCATGAATACTGCATACTACAGTACAAAGTCTGTAATCCGGAATCATTGGGACTTCGGCGATTCCGGATTAGGGTTTTTTCCAGATTATAGATCATCAATTTAAATCTGGTAAGATGGCATGCAGAAATTATACAATTAAAAATATGAAACCGCAATTTACGAAATAAAGAGCAATTATGATCTAAAGGGTATCAAATGTTACCAAAAAAAAAAAAAAAAAGAAAAAAGAAAAAAAAAAAAAAAGAAAAAAGAAAAAAGAAAAAAAGCTTAATATTTATTTGTTTACTTTATTAAACATTCTTTCAACGCGCGCATGCGTAAAGCATAACGCGTAATGTATGCACATTCTTTATGCATATGCGTTAAGTTTGTGGCTTTGAGGTCCGGATTATGGATCATTTCGGATAATGGACGTCCGGATTACAGACTTTGTATTGTAGTTGAAAAATAAAGAATTCAACTGCTTGAATATAAAGTATATACTTTTTAAAAATATTTCCACTGCTTATGTAGCTTTTAGAAGTTATATCATCATGCAGTATAAGCCTGTTTGATACTGACTAGTAAAGTTCTAGATTTGAAAGCACCAAAAAAACTTCCAATTAATTTTATACAAATGTTTCGCATATCCTATAAAATGTCTTGCATTAAAAAAATATGGGTGGTGATATCTTTAAACATTCTTTGCAACAGTTCAGAAAAACCTAACAATCTCAGTCGTGGTCTATAAGGTGAGAACAGTATTATATCACAAGTACAATATTTATTTTTGAAGGGAAACTAAGCACAAGAATATACAAAAGTGAATACTACATAATTTTCCAAGCACAATAAAAGCTAAACAAGATGGTAATTTTGAGTTTGAGCAAGATTTTGAGACAAACGCAAGGATACGTCTGATGTCTCTACACTACAGTGAAAGATGTCTGGAGTATTCTAACTGCAGAAGATCTTATTTCAAAACAGAAAGTGCATAAGGAAAAACTTAATAAATTTTAAAGTGCATTGCATGAAGTTTGTAACAATATAGGAGTCTTCTTTGGGTCTTGTCTTCATAAAGTCTTAGATAGCTGAAGGTCAGAAGAACCAGAAGATGAAAACGTGATATTTGTAGAGGGCTAGAAAGGAAGAAAATCATTGAGCAACATGAGCCTCCCCCCTACCCCCCAAAAAATGCAAGCTAAAACGATTTCACCAACACTGCATTTTGATAAAAGCTTTGTAGCAAGGAAAAGTTTGTGTTTGATGTGTTCCTTACTTTTTAATGTGACACAACTGAAACAAAGATTGGATGCTAAAAATAAAAGATTTCTGTTCAGAATAATCTGACAAAATGAGGATTAGAGATTGAACCAAAGTTAAAATTGTGCTCAATCCCGTAAAGAAGTCTAGCCTTTTCATGAACTCAAACATTTTGACATACGCAATCATATATGAAGTATATGATGATCTCTACTTAGGACTGCCTAGGAATCATTACAAAAGACAGAAAATTCCAACTGAAAAATATATCAGACCAACTCAATTGTCAGTAGTTGAAATGCACAAACGGTGCTGTGAATACAGAAAAACGCACAAAGCTATCTGGTCAGGGATGTTTAGTGCTTATGAATGATCATGGGAAGTTATGACAGATCTGCTAACCAAGTATGAGTGAAAACTTTTACCTCATCTGACAAAAAGTCTACCACAAAATCACCATACATAAATTAGTTTCTCATTTTGAGAAAGCCTAACTGTGGACCACATTTTCTGTCTTCAGCATTTACCCAAGACATTGGAGGACTGGAGGAAAGGAAAAAAAAAAAAAAAATTCAAATTCAAGGAATAGCAGATCTTTCAAGATGCACGACTGCATGTTTTTTTCTGCTGTTCTGAACGCCATTACTAACTTCTAAAAACAAAATGGCCATTACAGTAATTCACAGAATACAGAACTGTTTACCCTTTTGTCAGTTACTTTGACAATTAGCACATGATGAGCAGCTTAAAATTTATAACACTATTATACCCATAATGCAAATTAAGGAATTAAATTATTAAATGATAAAAAAGTATGCTACTGCACAGTTTCAAACTGCAACAATATTTCAAAAATAAAAATTATTGTTTGTTGCAGGCAAGTCACATTTAAAGCTGAGCCTCATGCAGCTCGTATGCTGCAGTCAAGGGGTTTTTGAAAGCTGCAGTTTGGTCATGCCTAATATATAATTTCAAATTGGTTGCAAATGATTCAGAACCTGAATGATAAAAATTTAACCAATACCAGATGTGTCATAAAATGTTAAAGATCCTTACAAAATAGTATGAAAATGATTAATTAAAATGATGCAATAAAATTCAAATAATTTATCTTCTTAGATCTATTCATTATAAATTAAAGAAATATTCATAAATTAAATTAGAGCTTTATTTATTATAAACAAAAGAAATATTTATAAATTAAATTAGAGCTATTATAACTAAAAACACACTGCTTAGATAATATTGTACTAAAGATAAGGTTTCATCATAATCACACTTACGTTATCAGGTGAAAGGGGGTCTGCAGCCTCCAACTTCATGCCTGTTTCAAAGCCCATATTCATGGAGCTCTACAGACAAAAATTTTGCACATTTATAATTTATTGAAAGCAAAATAATTCCACTCTATTTCAATATTTAACAATTATAAAATAATACTAACCATAGCAAACATCTCAGTTGGTGCTGGATTTGCATTACAAAACTTCAAATAAGGATCCCATGAAAATTTGCTAGTAGTTACTTCAAAACCTTTAAATGAAAATAAAAAACCTGATGTGTACACCACATTACTTCCTTGTACGGAATATTAAATTATATGCATTTTTTCTTGCATTTCATTTAAACTGATTGGATTGAATTAAATCTACTTCGTCGACAGCGCATAAACCACAATAGAATAAATGCATTCTTTAAAATTCACTCTAGTATTTGTTTACCATAGCGACACTTTGGCGCTAGATTCACTTAACAGTATTATATTTCATTCATATTATAACTCATAATGCACAAAATTTATATCATTTAAAGAATATAATTATTTAATCGTTGCCACGTGTTCTATTCAAATACTATAATAAAGCTAGAATGATGTATAAAAGAAATTAAGCAAACAAAACAAAAAAGAAACAGTTTTTCACAGACAATTGAGTATTTCTCATTCAATTAATTCAGTTCTCACTTTACGAGAAGGCAAAAATACATAAAAACTCAAAATATCTATATTAAAAATTACGAAGTAAATCTTAAACACTTATTTCCTCGAAAAAATTCCAGAAAAGATTAAGCATGATTTAATTGGCAATAATAAATGAAGGCGTTATCTTTGTTGTTGCAAAGCTAAGTTTCTCTAGATTGGCAACAAATCCACTAGTCTGCTCTTTCAAATATAAACAATCAATGGCCGCCATAAAAAAAAAAGGCTTACCAGCACTTAAACAACTTTAAAATTGTTGATAATTCCAAAAATATTGCACACAGATTTATTAAAGGCATAAAAACCTTAACCGGAAGATAAGAACAACATAATTCAATCATTTTTAAAGCAAAAAATTTACAATTTACAAACATATAAGAGTAAAGAAACTGAGATCACAGAACCGGGTAACAGAGTGAATATATATATAAATATATTTATATACGTTTGGTGCGGACGAATGCAACCAAAATACGAGGTGCACATCTACATGTTATAGCAGTCCTATATACAAAATTTCAACGTTCTGAGGCTACTCGTTTTTGAGTTATGTGAGATACATACGTTCATACAGACGCCATGAAAAATTCTCTTCAGAATTAATTTTAAAGCAGTTTTATAATTTTTTTTGAGGAAACCAGTGTTTTATTCTGTCCTTACATACAGATAGTATGCAAAAACATCGTTAAATTGCATTCGATAGCGGTCAAAATGGATATTTTCGTTGAAATATGGTGCCTGAAACTTTTCGCGATTACAATACTTCCTTTTACGAGGTAAAAGAAAGTAAAAACATTACAACAGCAAATACCTCTATAAACTCACATTAATAATTCCCTGCACTTCAGGTGGCAAAGAAATACCTAGCATTTGAAATCAGAAATTTGGTATGAAAATATTACTTTCTAGTTCTATAAAAATTAATGACAAAAAAGATGTAACGCATACTTTAAATCAATTGCACGTATTACCATAATATCTAACGCTGCAAACAGCAAACACACAATTTTTATTGGCCTTAGATGTAGCCTATGCCTGCTAGACACAGGAGAACGTTGAACTTCATTCTGTTGCAAAATTTTTATTTTTAGTATTTTATTTCAGAATGAAAAGTAAATCGTGAGGATGAGTAATATAAATAAACAGACCTGGCTAATAACTGCATCTGCTGATATACACAAACTGAGGTATTCTCAGTGCTTCTGAATACTTTCGTTTTTATTTTTGGCAATACAGGGGTATATATCCCATTGTTTTAGAGGTTTATTCATTCCTGATTCAGTCTGGAAAATACTGAGGCAAATATTTTGTGCATTATTTAGGAAAATATTTTTTATAAGGAAAATATAATGATAAAAGTTTCAAAATTAATTCTGACAAGTACCTCAGTATTCTAATAATTTGTCTAAAATTGAAACACTTGAACTGCAAATTTAATTTAATACAATTTTTTCACCAGAGTTAGGTTTAGTTCAAATTCTCTATTCCCACAAGATGGTGAGTGCATCCTGTTAGCGTGCTGTTCCGAGACAGCAGTTTGGTGACTGAGATGCGTATCGTTAGAGATAATAGAATTATTTGATCCATACACACTGCTGGCCATTAAAATTTCAACAACATGAAGGAAAAATACAAAACAGATATTTGTTATACGTAAACAGTATGGCATGAAGACAAAATGATTAAATTTGTAAACAGTTTTGGGTTTACAGAGAATAGTAGAAACAGCTGCCATTCCTGGCAGTTAAAACGGCCCTTACCTGGTTAGGCATGGAGTCGTACTGGGCTTGGATGACATAAAAAGGCAACTCATTCCATGCTGCTTCAAATCTATGCCACACTTCACCAACCATATTAGCTGGAGTGGGGTGATAGGTCAGTTTCTCAGTAATCCATGACCAGATGTTTTCAATGGGTGACAGATCTGGAGATCATGCAGGCCAGGGCAGCAATCGAACACCCTGTGTATTGAGAAAGGTTAGAACACGACGTGCAACATGTGGCCTTGCATTATCTTGTTGGAACATGGTGTTTGGGGGCCTCGAAGATAGGCCACAATGACTGAACGTAAGATGTCAGAACCCATCTGCATTCAAATTAGCGTCAATCCGAACTAGAGATGTGCGTGTTGAGTGCCCAATAGCTGCAAAAACCATCACACCAGATGCAGGGCCCCTATGCCGATATCGAATGCAAGCAGGTGACGTGTGGTCTCCTCAGACACTTCAGACACGTATACGACCATCAGAATACTCTTAAGTAGAACAGGGACTCTTTTGAAAAGGTGACATTGTGCCACTCCTGTACCCAGCCTTGTTGTTCGGTGCACCACAGTTGCCATGCCCATTTTCTGACTAATGGTCTGTGATGTTGTACGGTTTTGCAGGGCTGACATCACAATATGTCTGTCCTCTTGGGCGTTACTCATTGGAAGGCATTGGTAAACTGTATGCCCTTCAATATGACCCTCAGCAACCCACTGATTCCATATTCGCATGATAGTGATTGGATACCGAGCAGTGCAATGGGCCATATCACAGTACAATAATCCACACTTTCGGCAGGCAAAAATCCTGCCTCTATCAAATTCTGACGGCTGCTGGTAAGCCTTTCTTATTATTATTTGAGGAACAACAAGATATTTTGAGCAAACTCAGACCTTACAAGGTGATTTCTAAATGAAAAATCTACTACACAATTTTTCTTTTATGCAGTGCTCCCTCCTGCATCGTCTAAATGCTCTAAAACACTAATCATTTGCATATCCCAACCTCTTCTTCCTTTCACCTGATTTTGACATTCATCAGATCATTCTTTCATGGTGTTGCAATTTTAATGGCAGGAAGTGTATTTTAAACTTTTGATAAAAATTCTATGGATTTTTTTTTCATATTTTTCAATGAAACCATTCAACACTTTCAATAAAAAATTCCTAAAGATAAACTTTTTTTTCATTTTTTCCATTTTTTGTTATATTTTGCTATAATATTTTGTAAATTTTAAAATAATAAGCAAAAATGCTAAAACTTATGAAACAATATACAGTACAAAGTCTTTAATCCAGACGTCCATAATCCGGAATGTTCTATAAATCGGACCTCAAAGCTAGAAACTTTCCGCGCATGCGCATAATACATTTACGCATGCACGTTTAATGTATAATGGACGGTATAATCTAGGCTAAAATTATCTAATTATCTATTTCAGTTAATGTTGCAGATTACATTGTTCCTTAATCTTATAACTGGATCCAGCTTATTATTTTTTGCAGACAGTTAGAGCAATTTTATAAAAAGTAAGCTTGAACTTTCGATTCTGTCAAAAAGAGAGTCCGATTCTGGAGCTGCCAAAGGATCTACAAAGTGAAAGCATGTTTTGATGTCCATCAAACAAAAAGTGGAATTGCTGCAAAAAATGGATAAAGGCATGAAGATAGTGACAGAGAGGTTAGTGAAAACGAAAAAATTTCGATTGACAAGTTAGTTGGTATTCCCGGCACAGCAATTACAGGACTTGAACAGCGGAACTTTGTAACTGAATAAGAACTTATGTCTGTTTATAGAATTAAAGAGAAAGTATTAGCACATAAAATGAAGCAACTTAAACAACTTACATTGAAAGATATGTTTAATAAAGTAAACATATAAATATTAAGCTTTTTTTTTGTAAGTTTTGATATTCTTTAGATCATAATTGCTCTTTATTTCATAAATTATGGTTTCATATTTGTAATTGTATAATTTCTGCATGCCAACTTACCAGATTTAAATTGATCTATAATCCGGAAAAACCCCTAATCTGGAACCTCGCCAAAGTCCCTACGAGTCCGGATTAAAGACTTTGTACTGTACTAATCTGTGAATTATTTAATGTCAAAGAAACAACAGCACGCTAAAGCGAACAGTTTTTAAAGTTTTTGCCGTATACTTTATTAAACAAAGCACTCAACAAAGAAAAGCTAATTACTTAAGAAATATAAATAAAAAGGAAATTTTCAATATAAATCCTAATTTGATTTTCCAACAGAAATGCAAAAAAACTTTTAATTCAAATGTTGAGGAGTAAGAAAAATCAATAAAATGCATTGGCATTAAAATATTAACAAATTAATTTATAGGTTGTCAATTGTTTTATTGCTTAACAACACTTTTTTCCTTCAGTATGATTCACCCTGCAAAACATTTTGAATTCATTTTCTGCTTGACATAGTTAGACATATATATACTCATATGGCTAAAGTTTGATAATTTTTATGTTAACTTAATAGCATGAAAATGATAATAAGTAATTGTAATAAAAACATACATATATTTCACAATGTATATTTCATTTTTTAAAGATATAGAATAAAAATAATCTAAAATGTTCACCTTTAGGGACTTTTAAATCTAAGCCATTTTCTTCTGCCCACTTGACAGGAAATATAGTATGAGAATTAGAATGGCAGCATATCATACTTTTTTTATGCTCGTCACATTCATAAGCATCAATCATAACTAAAAAATAATAATCATTTAAAACCCTCAAAACTGTTGCAGGGCATATATCTGTGCAGTTAATTGGATTTACAGCTTCCAGTTTCATGCCTTCTTTGAATCCATGTTTTTCTAGAGGTAATTTGGGCTGAAACACATAAAAAATAATAATAATATGCACACATTGTACATACAATTTCAAACTAATATATATTAAAAATAGAATGTTTGATAACTTAGACTACATTTTACCTCCAAAACATGTGAAGGAAAAGGTAGCACTGCTGCTTCTTGCAAGGACTGTTTTAATATCATTTTCCACTCTTCATCTGTTAACATTTCTTTAAAGGCTGGGTGGAATGACAGTCAAAAATAATATCTCAATCATACTTGCCAACTTATGACACTCAAAAATCAGGATTTTCTCAACAATTAAAATAGTTCTTAATACGACAAAAATGTACAGAAAAGTATTTTTTAATAATGAATTAACTTTAAATAGTAACTGAAAGTTCAGTTACTAATCTTAAAAGCAAATAGTACATAAGTCAAAAGAAACTTCATTATTTTGTGTATAGCAATAGCTATGAAGACCTGCTTTTGCTAATAAAAGTTCTTCTAATGTGTCATTACTACATTGGGTTAGCAGTTGTTTTGGTCATAACACTAAAAATCCTTTCGCACTGTGCATTACTATGGAGAGCTGTCAGGATGGCCAACATTATTCTAGACAGTTCACTATACTTTAAAATTCAATCAGCACCTTGCAGTTTTCCAATGAAACGTACTTTACTGGATGTCAATACTTGCAGGTTATATAATTTTATCTGAGTTTTCTAAATGTAAATTTCAAAATGCGGTTGCAGGTGCAATATCAATATGATCGTCTTTCATGACTAAAAATTAAGTAAAACTCGAAATCTACTCATAAAATATATCAGCAAAAGATGCATTTACTAGAGAAGAAACATGTAACTTCAGTAGGTAAAATGACATTATTGTTGATTAATATCTAGTACATAAACATAGTATATTCGGCAGAAGTAGCTTCTAAAAATTTATTTTTGTCTTCCTCTGACAGTTCTTCACTACTTTTTTAGTTCATGCATAAGACCACCTCGACAGTAAGGTGTACAGAGAGATGCAAGTTCGTGTTGACACTACTATCAAAGAAAAACGATGAACTGAGTTCCAGCGCAAAGAGGTGATTTTCCATCAAGATAATGCAAGACCACATGTGTCTGCATTCAGCTGCTGGAATCTGTCAGGACTCCAACGGGATCTTCTGCCAAACCCAACATATAGCCTATAACATCACTCCTTTGGACTTCTACCTTTTCTTACAGCAGCTACATCTTGCTGATGCTGTCTTCCACTCTGCAGAGGACATCAAAAATGAGGTTGATCTGTTTTTGGACTTGCAACCACCAAATTTCTGGGCTGAAGACTTTGAAAAACTATCAAAACATAGGCATAAAATCATAGATTTGGGTGATGATTAGTAATCGCACTAAAGGTACTAATTTATTTTTTCCCCCTAAATTTATTAAGAACGTTTTTTGGTGAAAAACTTTCGTTACAACCAGATATGTTGCAGAGTTTTATGTTAATTAACCAGTTGATTCATTATTTTGCATTTACTTTAATTACTATTTTCATCAACTCTTATCAAGATGCAAATTACTTAATGTAATTTAAATGCAAAGTTCTTTAGTTCAAGAGACAGTTTTGACAGCCATCACTGAGCTGTTACTTCACCCTGTTACTTCTCCTTGCAACTGAATTGCTTACTTGGCTTTAGCTTTTGCTTACTTGGCTTTAGTTATAAATACTTCCTGGAAATGCAGAAGCCTGGGATAGAGTAGGTGCATGCTACTTCAGATTTAATATTTCAATCTGTCCTGAACCTTTGCTCTGAGTTTCCCTGCAAGCTGAGGGTATTTATTTTTCTATCACTGTTATCAGTTTTGTGCAATTGTCAGGCTGTCATATAAAATTTTCATGTTATTTTAAACCTTTATTAGAGCTGAGCTTATAGTATATTAGAAGTAAGATGGAATGATAAGTCATCTGTCTTCATGGTTTTAGGATTTGCCATTCAAAGTAACATGGAACCAGACAAAATAAGCCTAGGAGGAATTTTTCACATGAATCAGGAACAGAATATTACATTCATCAATCTATTGTAACTTGAAGACTTACACATTCTCGAAAAAACAAGTGAAGCTAATTGTATGCCTAATCTCCACCCCCCCCAAAAAAACAAAGAAACCTCTGGCTGTTTCAACATTAAATGGAAGATTAAATATCACTGAAGTTATATAAACATTTCAAAGACACCAAACAGCATGACAACTCAGGATATAACAATAAATGGTACTTATGCATTATCCCATCGGCCACAGAAGTTGACTGCCGTCGAACCATGAATGTTGGCAGAGATTCTGCTAAAGTTAAGCAGAACCTACAGAATTCTGAAGTAACTGAAACCTCTTTATTTAATAAACAATCAGTATTCGAGCCACTTCTTTTTGGTGCTTCATAAAAAGACCGCAGATTTCCACTATTTTAGTAGGCTCTTTGATTTTACTGGAAGTTCTCTGTTTGGCCCACTATGAAGATAAACTTTCCACAGGAAATTGTTCCAACCTATTATTGTTTTGTTGGCCATATTTTGCTGACCATATCATGTTCATTAATGCAGTTTTTTTCAATGTACGATCCCATAACAATGAAATTAATTCATTGCTTGATATTTTGTAAAAAACAGTTCCTACTTTTAATATTTTTTTCCCCTAAAATGCAATAAGTAATACAGCAACAGCAGTTAAAATGTGGCTTACTGAGAATGAATCAGGTTTACAGGAAACGAAAGTGCATATGTTATGAGTATGATTTTAAACTGGAACTAAATTGCGCTATTTGGTAACAGTTTCATGGTCAACAAGATAATATATAATAACCCAAAAAACATTTTGGGGTTAAACTTGCTAAAAACTTGCTTCTATCAGCCTTTTAGGAGGCATTTCAAAGAAAACAATTGATTTGTATTGATCCAGACTTATTTTGTCTTCAAAAACTCTCTCAACATAAGATCATTTAACTTCATAACTGTGATGCAAACTGCATACATTTGCGGGCATTAATAGCCTTTGCAACACACAGTTGTCATAATTTTTTATTTCTACTTACATTAAAAATTTTACTCGACACAAACGAGAATGCTAACTCATTTTGTTTATCTATTTCTATTCAAAATACTGAAGCCTAAGAATGTCTGGTATGAAATGAAAATTTTAAGGAAATATTTAACTCGATTTTTTATTGGTAATCTAGGAATGAAATACTATGCAACTCTGAATGCCACAACAGCCTCTCGGGACCCTTATTTAACAACAACTGTTAAAAAAAAAAAATAGACAACTGATATCACGCTAGATTGCAAGGAAGTATACAGCAGCTATAGAAACTTTACAATCTAGATATATTATGAATGAGAGGCTGCATAAAATACGTCTGTAGCCACCTAATTGGGGCAGTGGTCACCATACCAGAGGGCCTGGTATCGAATCGGAGACAAGGCAAAGATGTTTGTAAATATACACTGTATGTGTGACGTGGAGGCACTTTAAATATGCAGAAAGCCAAAGTCCTTTCAAGAGTTGCAGACCTTTCGACCCATCCCCTTGGGGTGCTCTCTTTCAAAACTGGGGCACAACTGAACTAAATACAGGCTGTCACATATTATTATGCCCAAAGCTCTTGGCGCATATGATTACTTGCCATGATGAATATTGTCGGCTTGTGCTGATCTTTGTCACACAAGTGAGATTAGTAACAACAAATAGGTCTGTATGCAAGGGAGCCAGTGATTTGAGTCCCACCAACTCAAGCTGCAAAATGTATCTAGTTACAGAATAAAGGTCTGAGTGGGCATCATTTTGAATAGCTGTGGTGACCTACTCATTTTTACTCCTGCAACTGTTAATGCTGAAACATGGAAAGATGAATTTGATATCAAGTGATTAAAGCATTCAGTTGATAATAATTTCTTCACAATGGAAGATAATATTCAGCCGGATTATGTCATACTAGTAACAGATCGTCTTGAGTGTGAAGGAATACAGTTGGTGAGGTGCTCTGCATTTTCTTTGGATTTAAATCCAATGAAACTTGTATGGGGCACACAATGATGATAATTTCCATCATAACAGCCCACATTCTACAAGAAATTCAAGGGATTATTTATTGTGTAGACTTTGTTACAACTATAACTCCTATATAATCCAATACATAATTCGGAAAATCAATGTAAAGCTTGCTTTTTTTTTTTTTTTGCCAGAGATGACTACACACCTTATTAATTTTTATTAATTTTTCCAAATTATCCTTGAAAAGCTATAACATTATTTTCACATTCCACTTTATATCATATTTTCTATGTTCTAACAATTTTTTTTTTTTTTTTTTTTTTTTTTTTTTTTTTTTGTGCACTGGGCAGTTCTGCATTTTGAAGATATGTCAGGTATCATGTGCTAGTTCCATGTTCTTAGCTGGAAGATCATTCAAGTTACTTGAGTTTTTAGAGCTTTTCTTTAATTTTTCCTCCCAATGTATAGGGTTGGTACACATTTCTGCACACAGAAATTAAGTACTATTAAGGACCATTAATGAAAAAACTTAAGGACCTATGAGCAAATGCGAACTGAATAAATTCAATTAAAAATATTATCTATGCCTGAATTTGACTTTTCTAATACCATCCTAAAAATAAAATAGATCCCTAAGTAGTATGCATTATTACTAAAAATGAATTAACATAATTATTAATAAGTTTGAGAATAAAATAAACTTTACACAATTTATCAAGTAGCATTAAATATTTTACACTTCTAATAGTTGGACATATTTGAAAGAAGATAAGTGACATTTAAGTTTTACTAACAATTAGCTTTATGTTGATTTTTTTTAATATCTCATTTCATCACATACTTATAAACAATAAAAGTATAAAACAATTGTACAAAAACTGTATTCCATATTACTAAAATTTATTATGTTTTAAAATTTACCATCTGGTGCAGAATACTGTAAACTATTCTCTTGAGCATAACCAACAGGATACAAACGATCAGATAAATAAAACAACCACATATCTGATGATGAATCTTTGCAACCATCATATCTTAATAATAAACGTCCACCAATATTCTGTAAGATCTACAAGATAAAAGAATAAGAAATACAATTCTTAACAGCAGAAACTATATAACTTAATTAGTATTCAATTAAAAATACAGCACACTAAGTCCAAAATCTGAGCCCATACTTGCTAACCTATGATGCTCAAAATTCAGGAGATTTTTCTCAACACAAAGATTTTTTTAAATGATAAAAATATATTTTCAATATATATTATTAATAATGAATTAACTTTAAAAAGTTACTAATACTATCTGAAAGTTTAGTTACTAATTCTTATAGCACAGTCAAATTAGACAAAAAAGGGGCAATCAGTGGGGGGGGGGGAACCTAGAGTCTTGGAAATGGTCTTAAACGCTTTCTTTAGACTTGGGTTGATGTGTGTAAAAAGTTCCTGAGGGTGGGGGATGAGCTTGGGGAAGGGGAGGGATTTAAAGGTCCCTTTCTTCAGTTTTTTCACTAAAATCTTGGAAACAAGGACTCCTACAGAAAAACAGTTCATATACAGAATTGAAGCTGACGAAATTTCCTACAAAACTGGTCTTATGCATTTTTGTCCTAGGTTATACGATTGTCAAGCTACGAGCTTCTGAAATTTGGATGCTTAGGCAAATTGCATATTCCAGCATTCAAAATCCTTCCAAACTAATTTAATTTGTATACAGTAAGTGTTTATATAAAAATAGTGTGTGCAGAGAAAAGGTTGAAGTTTAACAGAAGAGATGAATGGTTGACATTGTGACAGCAAAGGAGGGGGGAGCTTGAACGTGTCCCCTATCTGGAGGGTTCTTTCTGCTCACTTCCTTTGCTGTTCAAGTTAACACATATTCACAAAGGCTACAGACCTTTTTCTTATACACTTTGCTCTGAGTGGATGAAACTGCTCCATGAAAGTTATGATTGGCTACCTGCAATATGCAAAATGTGCTCATTTTTCCTTCAGAACATGCATTCTCTTCTTAATACCCATTCCCAAAACTTTGAAGATTTCACCAAATACTTCGCTGTGAGCAGTCTTTATTGGCTAAGTGGATTGGTGGAGCAGCTACATCAACATCAGTTTGCTCTGCTTTGAAAGGCTTTGCTGGCCTGAGCTTCTCTACAGAGGAGAAACATGTAGACTATTGTGCGTCTCCGGAGAGAAAAGATGATGATGATAGAAAGATCTTCCATTTTTTCTTCTCAGCACCTTCCCTTTCCAGAATCACGAGCATTAGCTACCTCGCAACACGCATGATTGCTAACCATGATCTAAATTGCCCCAAAACCCAACAAGAAGCCAAGTTTAGAATAAAGATGATAGAGCAAAAGTTTGGGGAAATAAGACAGGCTTAACAAGACAAAGTCTCATGACTGGCCTCCATGAGCATCAAAATCGACCATGCTGCAGAGGTAGTTGATCCTCTTCTAATATTTGAATGAGTAGCTATTTCCAAGAAGAATGACGAGGACTTAAACAGGGTGCGGCAGCGTTCGTAGCGTAATTTGACTTGCGTAGTTCTATGACGTACTGCATGAATGCACGCCAGCTCCTGCCGCATTTGTGTACTGATGAGCTGCCATTTTGAGTGTGACAGTGATATGGATCAGTGGAGTGCACAGCATCATGCCTTTGCTGTTCAAAGTCATTTCAAGAATAACTACTCTGTTATTACTACCCAGCGTCTATTTCGGCAACATTTCAACTTGGGACGTCATGGGAAAGTTCCAAGATGGACGGACCATTGCAACAGACATTTCCAGGTAGAGTAATTTCCTGTTTTGGTGACATTTCCTGGCCGCCTTGCTCACCTGATCTTTCATGTGCAGACCTTTTCCTTTGGGCCACCTGAAGCAAGAATTTTTCCAAACACGGTGTGCCACCATTCCTGAGTTGAAGGACTGCATCAGAACTGCCGTCGGCAATATCACAGGGAATACATTATATCAAGTTATAATAATAATAATAATAATTATCCTTAGCCTGCCTCACCTCCCATTGGGCACTACAGGTCATACGTTATTAATTAATTACAAAACAAATTACATTTATAATTACAATTTGATGTTGGTTTCCAACTTACATTGATTAGTTATATTAGTGAAAACAAGTTTGATTAGTAAGTTGAATATATATATGAAAAAGTGAGTTATTTACATATTTATATAAGGCATGCTGCCTTTTAATATCGTCAGGTTTTAACCTGGTGTGACTTGTATGATGGTCTTGTTGTTATTGACGAAGCTGACAATCTGTCTTACTTCCTGGAGACCGTAGAAATCCGTTAGGTAACCTCTGAGACCTTTCCTATAGAGTAGGGCGGTGTTGGCTGGAGATCTAAGCGACTTAATGAGTGGGCATGAAGTGATGTAATGGACGGCATCTGCTGTGCTGGCGGGTGATCCACAGCTGCACTTGATGTTTAAATGTAGAAACCTCTCTAAATATTGGGGGAATTTTCCGTGATTGGAAAGGGCCTGAATCGTGTAGTGGTTCGAATAAACTCTTGACAGCCTGACGTTTGAGAAGATTGCGAAGGTGTATCTTCCGGTGTCCCCTTGTTCCCATCTTTCTTGCCATTGTGACAAGAAAGCCTCTTGGATGTGATGCTTGGCTGCTCTCATAGAGATCGGAAGGGAGATGTCTAAGTCTTGGCGAGAAGTGGCGGCCTTTGCGAGAGTGTCTGCCCGTTCGTTCCCTCTTGTCCCTTGATGACCTCTTACCCAGTGAAGGGTGACTTGCTTTGTATTACTCAGAGTAGAGACAAGCTCTTTTAGGGATTGAATATGCACTGGAATTTTGCCTGTCTTATTCATACTCTGTAGGATGCTCATACTGTCTGTGTAGATAGAGATCTTGTTAAAATCTGAACTGCTTGCCCAAAGGGCTGCTTTCCTAAGTGCTAGGAATTCCACTTGAAAAACTGTGGCATTATCGCTGACTCTGAAGTGATCTTGAAAAATTTCTTGACTATTGTGGAAAACTGCGAAAGCAGCGCCTACTCTTTTGTCGTCTTTAGACCCGTCGGTAAAGATCTCTAATCCCTGATTGGACGGGGGATGTTTGTCCCATCGGAAGTCTCTGAGGGAGGCTGGATGAAGGGATGTTGTACTGAAGCAGATATATCAAGTTATGGCAAGCTTCCAACACCACCTAGATGAATGTGCAGAGGGGGCATCATTTGACAGGCATCATATTCAAAAAGTAATCCATGCAATGGACAATGACTTAAACATTAGTAAATGGCATAACTTTAACTATTAATTGACATAGGTAATAAATAAATTATAGTTACTGCCTTATGGTGCGTTTTTAATATCCTACTATGAACGTTGTATAATATTCTCCTTTTTCACCCAGTTACTCCAGACCTCAAGCTTCATACTAATGTGACTGATGGAAGATTCCTTCTTCATTGAGTCAGGTGGGATATAGGATCATTCTTCTCAGTGATAATAATATGTGATTTACATAAAAAAAAAAAAAAAAAAAAAAAAAAAAAAAAAAACCATTATGGTGAATGCTTCACTGTCGTTTTTGATGGTTATTCTAACACTGTCAACAGCACAAAATGTGCAGAAATAACATCGAACCACCACCATCACTGCATCAGTCGATATTGACTTTACTGGAGAGGTGGCAATGATGGCTCAACAACAACACTTTTTATGTAATGAAAAAAATACGGTCAGATTCATTATTATGATGACTCAGATAATGATTGCTAAGAGAATTGGAATCAGTCAGGCACAGGCTGATAAAACAATAGTGAATCATGCATTGGAAAAAACAGAATCTGATTGTTCTACTGCTGTCATCAGCGAGGATGTTGATCTGCTGGTCCTGCTGTCTGCCTTAGGACCAAGTAGAACAAGAGGTAAAGTTTTTCAAACCAGGGAAGAGAAATGAGGAAAGCAGAACTTATTCCTCCACGGTATTGCAAGAACATGCCTTTGCCAAGAGCATCATGTTCATTCACAGTTTTAGCGGCTGTGATAAAAGCTCTGCAATTTTCTGAAAAGACAAGTCATCGATTGCTAAATTATTTAGGACGAACAGCAGCATGTATTCCATTTCCCACATCTTTTACATCAACACTTCAACACAAAAGGAAGTCACAGACGCAGGAGAACAGATGTTCCTAGAAATGTATACTGCACAAAAAAAGGGAGGGACAGTTCTATATCTCCCGTTCCACTGGGCCTTTTGATGAAATTCAAACTGCATTTTCCGTGTCTCGAAAGCGTGACTTATGATATATATTAGATTTATATATAGCTTTATTTTAACACAGGTATTTTGACATAAAAACGGACTTTTTCTGAAATAATAAACCAATTTTTTCCATATTTCGATTCTATGACTCAAATTATGTCTAGATATTAAATTTTGTAATTTTTGTTGATAAATTTAAAAATTTATGTTGGCAAATTTTTTTCAGTTTGCACCCAGAAAAATTCACTTGGCGAACATCTTAATTTATAGCAAACTATTTTTCTTTCGTTTTTCTTCATAGTCCACAAGCGGGAAAAAGTCATCGTTCATACTTTCAAATAATTTTAACAAAGTGCATAAACCACATTTTCGTTATTATCGCTTACAATAAATAAGCTAAATTTCAAAACCTGCCAAAATGTAAATTTACGTATATCTTAGAAATTTTCAATAAAAAACTCTTAATTTTTTGCTGGTATGCTTAGAAATACATCTACTTTAAGATGAACACAAACCTTTTATAAGATATCATTAAATTTTTTTTTCTAATTTATGAAATTATTTAAAAAATACAAATTTTAAAAATAAATAATAATAATAAAATAAAAAAATAAAAAAAAATAAAAAAAAAAAAAATGGGCGAACTTTATTGGAATGAGCCTAAAATTCAAAATTTGAAAGGAAGAATCAAATAAGTTTCATAAAAAAACATATATTAATAAATATATATCAAATTCAATTAACATTGAGGAGCAAAATTTCGAGAGCTACTTTTTTAAAAACTACTCATGCGATTTTTACAAAACTTGGGAGTTTGGCATAA